TATAAGGGTACTATAAGGGTAGTTCTCCAAAATATGGTCCTTTCTCGTGTCCCTTATCACAAAGTTCTATTTTGGGGACCCAAAAGGGGACCTAGTTTAGAGAACTACCTTCCTGCTTACGATTTTGGGGACCCAAAAGGGAACCTAGTTTAGAGAACTACCTTCCTACTTACGGCTCAGGAGGGCATGTGGAGTGTAAGGCCTTGGGGTTTTGGGTTCAGGGCTTCGGGGTTTAGGGATTTAGGCTCGGATTTACGGTTTTGGCGTTCAGGGTTTAGGTAATTTAGGGTTTAGGGCTTCGGGATTTCGGGTTTAGGGTTTTGGGATATATGATCGTATACTTTGCTGAGATACGGGCTTTACCTTCTTAGTAAGTATCCCAGGACCTCCTTACCCTCAAATCAGGTTTCGGGGTCTATCATCACAAACCTTTGAGGACTCGGTCTTATGAGCTTTTTGGCCTAATCTGGATCCTGACGCTGACTTTCCATCTCGAAGCTGAACCGAACCCGTCCTGCGCAGGCTTCACGGAAGGACCTCGCAGAGAGCGAAAAGGCAACTAAGATGGCTAACTAGCTGTTCAACGATCGGCGCGAAACTTTGAAAAACATCACGGCTTTCAGCGCCGATCGCGGTACAGAAGCGATCGTGAGTATAGTGGAACTACACGATGTAAAGAATACGACGATCGCCAAACGAGCGCCTGTAAAACGAAGTATGGTGCAGTGGCACAGATGCAATGAAGATCTCGAACTGCAAGCCCGAATTCGGCCACGTGACAATACTGGAAGGAATGCATTTTTTGCAGGGTAAAACTCAAACGACATTCAAAAAAAACGAAAGATCGGCTCCGTGTTGACGAACTTTAAGAAACCTCTAAGCCTCTACACATCGTAGTCTCATAGCAGCCCCTAGAGTATCCTTTGAAAGGAAGACTTAGGGGAACGCCCCAACCCAGCTTTACCTCGGGCTGTGGCCATTGGGTTGATCCTAGGTTCCAAGGTTCGTCAAACCGACACTGGAGCTTGGGGCCTAAATAATTACCAATACTCCATATTTTCGTTCCCGCTTTAGTAGCTGTAGTATAATATTCCTCCCTAACAAGGATCCCAAGTCGTCGGGAGTTTAGAGCAATGAAGGAGCCGCCAAAGCTCCAAAACCTGAAGAGGGTTCAGGGCCCTCAGGGTTATCAGTAGCTCACGAAGCCCCGCCCATCCTTCCCTTGCGCTACGATGCCCATGAATATGTGAATAGTTCTCGAAATTACGGGGTCCCTGTTTAGGGACCCAAAATAGTACGGCACCAAAGGGAACCTTCATTTACAGAACTGCCTATGCGCAACCCCTAAACCCTAAAGGCCTTAAGCCAAGTGTTTGCGGCTTTGGGCTCAAGGTCGGAAGCATAGATTCAGGATGACCCCCGAGCATCCAGGGAAAAACTTCGAAGGTGAGGGAGCCTCGTGAAAGAAGGAGTTTTCTGTATCGGTAGAAGTCAGGCTTCAGGAAATGCTTGCACTATCGTAAAGCCTCGCATGACAGATGCTTCGGGAGTTCCAGCGTTTGCTGTCCAAACCCTTGCTCTGAACCCAGCAGCCTTGTAATTCCCAAACCCCAAACCATAACGGCCAGACCCCCAAAACCCTAAACCCTAAACCCTAAACCCTAAACCCAAAACCCAAAACCCTAAACCCGCAACCCTGAGCCCTAACGCGGCCCGCAACCCGGCATCCCAAAGGCCTCAACCTCAAACCACAAGAAGTCGCCCAAAGGGTTTAGGGTTTAGGGTTTAGGGTTTAGGGTTTAGGAAATCCCCAAGCCTACAATAAGCTTCAAAGCCCGAAGCTGGCCCTAAGATCCTAGGTCCTTAGTTCCTATTACCCAAGTAGAAACCCACGTGCACTCTTGACGTTCCCTGGACTTCGCAACCCCATTCCTAAACCCCTAAACGCAAGAACTTTAGGGTTTAGGGTTCAGGGTATTGAGGTGTTCAAGGGGTTTAAGGGGTTTTTGGGTGGTTTTGGGGGTTTGAAGGGGTTTAGGGGGTTTAAGGCCTAGGGCCCCGGGCTCTCTGCTGAGCTGGGGCTAAACAGCTCCCCACCAGCGGAGGCCTCCAAAATCACGTCGGTTGCGGCTGTAGGGCTACTACAAGGGTCACGACGCTATAGGGGTTGCAGAATGATAAGTACAAGTGGATGCGTTTGGCTTAAAGTTTCAGGTTTAGGGCTTTAGGAATTTGAAAGTTCAGCTCTTCGGGCTCAAGGTTTAGTCTTTTGGGTTTAAGGGTCAGAGTTTCTGGTGAAGCATGGGATGCTTTGTGTGGTTCGATTCGAAGTTGAAGCATCACGCCTCGGGCCCTGGTACTAATGACTTGAAAACCAACCAGGCCAGACTGACGATCCGAAACCTGGAAGCCCCAACGCAAAAAAACTCCAAGAAGTGATCCCTACACGCTAAACCGCTAAACCGATTCTCCGAAGCCGCACTGGCAACATTGGACACACAGCAGCAACAGCAGCAGTATGAACAACACCAACAATGATAGGGAAAACAAGAAAGCAGCAACGTCACTCAGATAAACTGGTAGATGCGGCCATCGCACGAACCCTTGCCATCTGGATCTGAACACTTACGTTCAAACCCAAACCGGCAGACGTCTGAACGCCGAAAAGCCAAACCCGGAAGAGGCTCCCGCCGGCTCGTCTGCCATGCGCTCCTTCCCACCGTCGCTCCACTTGCGGATCACTGCGTTCCCTCTTTCCTATGTATGGAGGCTTAGGGTTCTGGCGTAATCAGTTTTTAGTTGCAGTAGGACTTGGACATAATACAAAGCACATTGACTTCGAGGTGGCATCTTCTGTTCGATTTTGTTACAGATTTACATACATAGCTTTCCGTTTGACAAAATACGTGGCATGTCGACCTTGCAAACTCATTGCAAACACAACATACCTTCGAGCCCTACGCCACTCTGAAAAGCGCTTCATAAAATCGTAACCACGAAGCTACGAGATGTAAATCTGATTCCCAAAAGGTCTTGAATTGTCTTCCGGTGTAATAAAGACAATGTTTGCCACATCACCACATGCGTGAACAAGCATTTGAATTCTGCTTTCCGAGCTGCACTTACGCACAACTAAGAGCGCCTCTGTGAAGCTTCTTTTGACCAGCGCTGGCATCTGTCGCTGGTTTTGAAAACTTGAACGCCGTAGCTTGCTCAAGGAATGCGAGCGTTGAACGGCTGACTGCTAATCCTAGAAGTCAGGCAAACCCGCAGCGCAAAAAAACGTCAGCGAATGCTGTTGCTACCTCAGCCGGGATGCAAGTTCGCAGCGCTCAAACTCCGGTGCTGCTGAGGCACGCGCGCGCGACTTATACATCGTCCGCTGATGGCGGCACGAACCCGTAGCAATCTGCCCTGCGAGCGGGGCGACGTTAGAAACCCTACGCCCCAAGCTGAAAAGTCAGCGAAACCAAGTGTTTGGCCTAGGGCCTAGCATGCGCCGCGATTCACTTTTGTTTCTTCATCTTCCGCCACCCAACGCCCATCCTGCAAAGTCAATCTGAGACACGGCACAGGGAGGAATAGGTGGCAAAGTTTGATGTGAAAAGCTTTCCTTCTGCCAGTGTACTGACTTCATGTGAAGAAAAACACAGACGCACAACCCTCATTTCTTGAGCCATGATTTCGCACGAACATCTGATCTCGAGTGAAACTGCAGACTGCAAATTACGAGTAGCAAAACAATGAGAAAACATAAATACTGGTGGGCATGTAGGGGTGCAAAGTTTTCTCACCCCGCCTCGGTGCATGCGCAAGCAAAGCACCGTCGTGAAAAGTTATGCACCACCTCTGGAAAACAGCTGTTTAGTTCAAGTCTGCCTCGTAGTGACAAAACGGCGATAGTTACGCCTGAAGCGGTAGTTACGCTACGTGAAAGGATTGGGCTCATATGTTCAGTATCCAGCTACGTCTGTACAGTAACCTACGAACTTNNCAAGGCTCGAGGCCCTGCACACAAAGGCTGCTTGACTCACCCAAGCGAAGGCGTGCAAGCATCAAGGTGGGACTATGGCCCACTCAAGCTCAAGCTCATTCATGTAGGCACATGCGACAAAAGGAATGTCGCCCTGGTGCGTCAAAGATCCTTTAAGGATTTTCTCATCGAAGATTGTGACACTCTGTGTCGAGCTGCAAATTGCATGCTCACGTAGATCCAGGCTGCTCCACAGCCATCGACATCGAAGTTCGGATTTCTCAAGATTGACACACCAAAATGGTGTGTGCGTTTCAGTGCTGATGCACGGTTTCACTGTCACACATTGCTCTGAAGTTCAAGGATATGCCACACAAGGTCGCGGTATATTACACAAGCATTTGCAAGCTATGCACATCGTCTGTCAACGGATTGCACCCGCAGGTCCAAACCACTGACTATGTACAAGATGGCCACTGCATCTGCATCATGAGCATTTTGCAAGACACTAGTGTGTTGGCATCCAAGAATCGGCAAATTCTGGTTCATCCGGGCCTGCACACTCCGCATGGGGTGTAGCCCTGGTGCACAGCATCGGCACGCGACATTGACACAACATTGTTCGCCGCACGCAGCTTTCCACAACCGATCTTGTGGTAACGGCGTCCTTGGTTGGTTGCAACCCACACTTCATTTCCAGAACGCTCACCTTTCCTAGCACGCGGAGGCTTAGGAAGCTGACGATTATCACCGGATGACCCTGGCATTCCACGGCGGTCATCGTCATCACCATGATGTCTTGGGCTGCACTTTGCTTTGCTGCTTGCACCTCTGTGCTGAGCTCGCCTCTGCATTCGCGCCTCGCGCGTAGCATCTGTGACCATTGATCCGGATCGAAGCTTGTCTCCTCGCTCGAAGTTGCACAGCTCAGCGGCACCTGTGGTGTGCCGGGCGCTGCCCCGCCTGGAGTCGGCGCCAAAGGTCGATCAAACTTCCCATCATTGACACTCACATTCACGCTCACTGAAGGCTGGGGCTGTCGTCTCAAGAGGCATGACGCAAAGCACAAAACGGTGCAAATCACAACAACTTGCATTGCAGCACTGACGAAGCCTGGGTAATTCTCAGCAAACGCAGCTGCATAAGCAAACACCTGAAGGATCGCCGCAAGGATGGCCTGGAAGTAGTCGTTGGTGTCATCGTTTCCATTCGCATCATTTTCAGCACTCAATGCACGTGTAGCTTGCAAAGCAACCAAGAAAGCCTGAAGCATGTTAATCATGTTTGCATCACCATGCGACACAACTGCTTTCACCTGCTTGTGAACACGGCAAATCTTGATCACTCGGCTTTGCAACGCTGCTTCCTCGGTGCCAATGAGCTCGAAGCCATTTTCGGCTTCTCGGATGCCCAACATGTTCAGTATGAACCTGATGCGTGACGGCGAAAGGCTCTTAGTCATCAAGTCCGACACGTTCAATGCCGTTGGCACCGGGCTAACAACAATCTCACCAAGCTGCACGCGCTGCTGAATCAGCCTATAGCATGGATATGACGAATCTTCCCTGTGCCTTGTCTCTGCATCATAGCCCTGGCGGCTTGGTTGTCGACCAAGATTCGAAGAGGCGCTGTCTCATTGGGAAACAAGTATTCCACAATGGCACGAATCGGTAGTCCGTCGATGGCGCATGACACTGCTGCGTGGTATTCGCTTTCAGCAGAAGAAAGAGCAATGAGCCGCTGGGAGCGGCTTGCACTGTAGACAAGCTGTCCGTTCACGACAAAGGCTGATCCACTCACTGAATTTCTAATCCTTTTGCATCCACCCCAATCGGCATCTGAAAACCTTTCAACCAAATTCTGGCCTTCAAGCTGAACCACAAGTCCGTGTCCGGGCTTGTTGCGCGAAAGGCTGTGGCACTGACCTCGATGCAAATGCAAAAAAGCAAACTCCAAGAGCCTTTGGTAGGCTTTGCCATGAAGGAGGCCAAATGGCGTATGCAGAACTGGGCTTCCGTAACATCAGCCTGAAGATAAAGAAGAATCCCAACGCAGGAACGACACACGCTCGCCTCGGCAGTGGGCAGCAAGGGATCGTTGTCGGCATCTGTTGGGAGTGCACCGGTAGGCATAGGAGCCTGCCTGTGACGCATCTTTGCCTTGAAGGCCTGTCACTTGAAGAAGTCGATCCAAATGTTTCCCGTGCACTTGTATGCAAAGTTCGCCATCGGAAATCAAAATGTGTCTTTTCTTCAAGAACGTCATCATCATTCACATCATTGATCCACTGCACAGAGATTTTGTACTTCTTGCAAAGCTGGGCACAGCAATCCTCAAGAACACTCTTCAACCCTGCAGCAAGCATATCATCAACATGAAGAAGGGCTCCACCTTGCTGCTTTGGGAACTTGAGGATGGAAGGCATCTGTGCCATTTGCTCGGTGTTGCTGTGTTTGCGAAGGTAACCACTAAAGTCATTAAACCATCTCGAACTACCATCGCGTTGCCCTGGCAGGCACCGGTCTAACCGGAACCACTGCACTTGGTCGCCAAGTCTGACAGAAGTGATCGTTGGCTCGCCCTGCTCGCAAGTCAAATAAGCATCTGCCACATCAACGGCCATCATGCTCCAACCCTGGTGTTGGTGCTGAATGAAGAGAGAAGGAATCATCTTCAACGCAATGGCAGAGCTTGCTGGAGAGAACAACCCTTCGCGATGCGGTTCTAAAAGTGCAACTTCACGCGCGACTAGGCGCGCTCTGATTTCTCCATCCGCTTCTGGCGCCAAGTCAAAACAAACTTTGTGCTCAAAGTACGATGCCTTGGCAAGGGGCACCTCACAAAGGATGCTCAAGGACGAAAGTAGCTTCACTTCATACAAGCATGCTTGACGGTCAACTTCACTCAGCTCCTCAGAGTCGAGGACCGAAAAATCACGGATCAAGCACTCTTGGGATGCTATCGGCAGTCAGCTCACCTTCATCTGCCTCATGCAAGGAAACAATATGATCAATTCCTTCCAAGGTAATCTTTTCAGTCTCGGTGACCACATGCCCAGCGCCTCCAGTCGTGGCACGAGCAAGTATATGCAGTCTCTCTGGGAGTTGCAGGGCCTGGACTACAGTACACACAATTCAGATGAAGGTTTCGGGTTTAGGGTTAGAAGTTTAGAGTTTTTAGGGTTTGGGGAACTCTTAGATCCAGGTTGGTAGCTTTGAATTGGAGGACTTGGGTTTGAACACGCCGGTCAGATTTCGAAAACGAGACCACTCTACAAAGGGTCCTAAGGCTTTAGAGGTTTGGAGTTTTGGGGCTGAGGGTTTCTAAACTCTGGGGTTTTATCGTTTAGAGGCTCTAAACTCCAGGAGTTTAGACTTTAGGGGGAAGAGTTTCAGAGACCAGGGATGAAGTATACTTAGATAGCCACTTGGAGAGTTTCAGCCTCAAGTTGCAAGTGAGACTTCTAGGCAAGCGCTCGAAAAGGGTTTTTGCATCGCAGTCCTTCGAAGCGTTGAGTGGGACGTGTGTGCTGTGCTTTCCACGAGACAGCCTGTTGGCCCTAAGTCTTGATCGAGCAGACAAGTTATTCTGGGCTGGAAGGCGTTAGAGAGCGCATGTGCACCACCTGCGATGTTGAAGTAGCTGTCTGTTCGGTAAGTGTTGAAAACTCAGAACGGCAACGCGTCCTGTCTTCTTCTATGAGCATCTCCCTTACGTCTTTTCGTCTTCTCACTGCGTTTTGATGAAGAAAGTTCAGATCGCCACATGTCCAAGGTGCATCGTGCAGAACAAGCCTTGAACTCTCGGACACTTTTTCTCACACTCGCGGTCTTGA